AGCCAGTTCTCTTTGGTTTTTGTTTTTGTTGTTGTTATTCGTTTGTTTTGGTACCAGGGGTTGCACTCAGGACCAGCACTTGTAAGGCAGGCGGGGGAATCACTGAGCTAAATCCCTGGTTCAAGCCAGCTCTTGTGAAAATAATACGTAGCCTCCGTGGGGACACCACTCCATCACCCCTCCATTACCACCAAAATGCTCTCCAGCAGATCCTGGGACCCCTCTTAATAAAGTTATAGAGTAACTATAGTTATAGTAATAATAGAGTAATATACAGTAACTGTAACAGCCTGAGACATTGTCATTGTATATACAGCTTTCTCTGCCAAATAGTGGTGAATATTTGGAAGAATTACTGCATTTCCTCCCATGTGTATACTCTAGTGGCTAGCAGAGTGCTAACAGGGCATGCCCTGAAGTATAGGAATGAACAACGTTTTCATATCTTGGAAGATTGCATAACTTCACATAAGTGAAGACAGACTTGAAAGTAAGTTAAAAATCACAGTGAAAGTTGAACAGTAATTTGCCGGTTTACATAGCACTACAGGGCTACTTCTATTACATGATGCTTTGGAAGTTTATCACACATGCTATTTGATGGCCCAAGACCTGTAACTCTTTATTATGAAAAGATGGAATGACATCTGGTATGGTTCTGGGTCATGAGATCACCCACATTCATGTCAACCCCAAACCAGGCACAGTGGGGCGCTCACAATCCCAGCACATGGGAGGCTGAGACAGGAGAATTGCCAGGAGTTCAAAGCCAGCCTGGAATACATAGCAAGACCCTGTCTTTAAATAAACAAATCATAACAAAACAAAGCATAAAAGAAAATATTAAAATACAGAATAGTGTTACTTTAAGATAAATAGGAAGCCGGGTGAAGTGGTCTTAGTTCTCCTCCTCTCTGTTCAAAATCTCCAAATGCAGTTTTCTCTTAAATAAAGTGAACTGGTTTTGAGTATGGTGGTGTATGTACACCTGGAACAATTACACAGAGGAAGCTGTGTTTCTAGTGATGAGACTGATGGTGCTAGACAGTAAGTGTTTTGAAAGAGAATAAACTGGGCAGCAAATGGGAGAGGCAGAGGGCAATATTATGAAATCCTTTAGATCTCTGAGTCCTAAAAACAAATTATGTTGAAATTTTAGAAAAAGGTTTCTTGTAGTTTTTAGACAATTTTAAAGACACCAAGAAACAGAGACACACGTGAAGCTATTCCTCAGTAAAATGAGAACTGAAGAAGGTAATAATTTATTATATACAGCAGCTGCTATGCTACAAAGAATTACAATATATCCTGTACCTTAACCTCATTTGAAAACTGAGCTCCTCACTTCCAGCTCACTAAGGAGTGAAATCCAGGTGCTAATTCCACTCACTGTTAAAGCAAAGTTTTGACATAGATATAGTTATCAATACAGATATAGATATAGACGTAGATAAAGATAGATACAGATATAGATGATATAGATGCATATAAAGGTATAGATATCGATATATCCTTAACCGTTTTCATGCCAAACAACATGTTATGTGTCCCTGTATCAGGGCCCAAATCATTATAATGCTGTTATGGAAGCAGAGATTGTTATTAATAACCCCATTTTCTTTTGGAAAAACTCCAGTGATGTTACACAACTTGTTCACTGATGTGGGGCCAAGCACACACTGATGACAAACAAGGAAGGCTTTGTCTGTACAGCTAGAGTTTCTGATGGTGTCACTTGGGTCATTCTAGAGCCCAAGCCATACTCGCTGATTTCCCTGTGAATGAAATTAACCGTCTTGATCATTTACTTTCAAGAATCCAGTTTTACTGAAAGCCATGTGTGAGTCCATATATGGGGCCACGTGGGGGAATCCTAACCTTCCTATTGCCTATAGGGCCACTTAAGAGGACTTTTAGTTGTTTGAAAACGCCTCAGAGCTGACTCCACATAGTCCTTGTCCCGGTTAAACCACCCTTCCCATCCAACACAAGGTATGAAGACTGTCAGTCAGCAGAGTGGATCTGTCCAGGGTGACTTTCACTGCTAGCCTTTTAATGCTCATCCAGCTTCCAGGGCTGATGTACACATCTACCATGAGCTGAGAAAAAAAGATAGAGCCAGAAAATAATAAGATCCTGTTGTCCCTTCATTTGTAGTTGTCATCCTTTTCCCTGGAGAAAAATTATCAGAGGACCCAAGCCAGCTTTAAAGGGAAATTCAGCTGTGAGGCTGCTTGTTTCACAGGTCCCTCCCCATCCTGTCGTCCTGCTTGAGCCAGGGCCAGTGCTGTGTAGCAAGAGAATTGTGGGGACCACTTTGGGGCTTTTAATCACTCTTTTGTATCTTCTGCATATCACATACTACCAGAAAGTGTAAGTTATCCACTGAATTTTAAAAACTTCAACTCACCCTCGGGGAACAAAAGATGGAGCTGGTGATGGCATCAGTGACCTTAGGCTGAAACCTTGACTTTTCTGCCGTAGATTGATATGACTAGGTAAGATGAATCCATGCACAAATGAGTGAGAAATCAATTAGTGAGTATATAAGCAATCAGATAAATAGATGTATGGATATGGAAATATATTTACAGTTGGAAGAAAATATAAATCCAAAAGATTTAGTGGTGTTGTATGGATCACATTTTTAAATGGATTGCATACAAGGAGAGTAGACACAAGTTTATTTATAATAGATAGGCGGACATAGTAAGAAAAATACTACCTAACTACCTCCTAAGTGTCAGTCTTCACCCGATATCTGCCAGGACAATTTTGAGAGCCAGCTAGTGACTCTCCTTTTCATTCATCCATCTCTCCTCTCCTTTTTCAGGCTGTGTTTGAAACTCGTGGCTTCAATCATTGTAGGCCAGACCTGGTTTCATGGACGTCTCCAAGTGCCCATGATTACTGTGCCTGCAACATTGCCTTATTGAATGATAAACTTTTCTTTGGTTATTTGGTCAACATTTGTCTATACTGGAATGAACTTGTTTAAAGCTGCAGGTTATTTTGCAATGTTACCATGCCTTACTTTTATTTTTAAAGGGAAAATGTAGTGGTATCAATTTTGGGGGACTTCAAAGACATGTAATCCTGATCCACTGAGGATTCAGGCTATGGAGGGGCTGGTTTTGTGAAGCAGATATAAAATATGTCCAATTATTTGCATATAATTCAATTGCAAGGTACAAGGCTTGTTTCCCTTGCAGAGTGATCCTTCGGAGGTACTTAAAAGCAAACCCCCCTTCCTTCTTTTTTCCCAGTGTGTTAAAATTGCACTACGGAGAGGTAAAGTGGCCAGTTCCCAGCAATGTGTATAAATGAGTCAGAAGAATCACCACCAAGCACCCCAGAAAACTCCCTTCCTTTACCTTTCTCAGCTAAATCGTGCCCACAGCCCCAACACTGATTCGTAGTACTGGTAAATAATGGTGGTTCCCTTCAGCAAATTTGTGCATCATCACCGACTAAAAGCTAGGCCTTAAGTCATTTCTCTACCTGATGGAGCTTAGTTTCCCCATTTGTACAACTAAAAGGGGGAAGAGGGAAGAAACCACATGATTTCTATGTTCGGTTTCTTTTCAGCTCTGAGAATCTATGAAGATTAATGAAGCAATTACGTGGGCAAGAGTCTCAGACGACAAAAGCTTTTCGAGTCTTCTTACTTCCTCCTTTGCTTTATTTGAGAGGAAGTTCAGAATTAAATGCATGTCCAGTTGCACTAAATGTTTTGGCTCAGGTTCACATAACAGTGTCTGAGGTACTCTGGGCCGTGCCTTTCAATTTTATATTTTGGATAGCTGTTCCCTATTATCAGCTCTGTAGCCCCTGTTAGTGGTAAAGCTGACATGCTTTTCTTGTCAATGCTGTTGTGACTGATGACAGAATTCAGTTTCAGAAAAGTGAATCCTTGTCCGAGCTCATTATTGACGGAAATAGTTCCTGATGCAGCTCTCCCAGCCTCAAAAACCCAAACTCCTCTCTTCTCTCCTTGCCTCCGTGCTTTCCTATCTTGCCCTTTCGTTCTTGCAGAGGTCCTTGTCTCCGTTTGTTCTTTCACTGTAACACTTTCTGGATATTTTTGGCAAGTATATGAAATGAAGCATAAATACTGGAAAATTACACGAGTGCATTGCACACATCGTAGAGATCTCAAAATTTCAACCCTGATGTTGTAGTTTACATTACTTGTCATATGTAGGTCATATTTTCAAGGTGATACTTATGGCTCTTATAAAATATGTTTATGCTAGTGTTTCTGCTGTGGAGCAATGCACATAGAAGCTGGAACTGTGAGCTTTGATGTCCGAAGGCCTTGACTGAAATCCTTACTTAGTCACCTTTATGTAATCTCGAGACAGCTGCCTAGTTCTCATTCATGATTTCCCCATTCTTGGCATGGGCGTGTTGGCTGTCTTCCAAATTTAGGTATGTTCTACTTTCTCTCTCTTCGAGGTCCATGTCTGAGGAGCCCACCAATCTTGGAGCAGATATACAGGGAGACGTTTTGAACGCCTGTGCTAAGTATGTGCGGATGTTTTCTCTGTCATCATTCCCTAAAGAACTATTGACACAGCCTTTACATTGTATTGGATGCTGTGAGTGCTCCGGAGAAGATTTAAAATACACAGGAGGATGTGTGTGGGTTCTGCAGAAATACTATGCCATCCCCTGTAAGGGACTGGAGTACCTGCAGATTTGGGTTTTCCCGAGGAGTCCTAGAACCAATCCCAAATGAATACAGAGGTAGGGCTCTATGGTCAGTTTTAAAGAAGGTACTTGAACCTTTAGTATAAACTGTGGAATAAGGACTCCATCCGTATAGCTGTTGTCATTTTCTCCCGTGCTAACTGAAGGGAACTCTACAAGGACGCTCTGCAGAAATAGGACGCACAGACAGTGAATAACTGCAGCACACGAGTGACCATCACTCTCCTGGCCTGGTCTTCTCTTGATTTTCCTTCTGACATCTCTGCTTTTGGATGTTGTCTCGGCAGAGGACAAGACATGGATGTCAGTGGAGCACAACAACACAGGGCTGATCCGTGTGCAGGGCGCCGACCCCCAGAAACCCTACGGGATGACCTTGGACTACGGCAGCAGCATGGAGCAGCTGGAAGCCCTGATCGACGGCTCGGAGCACTGTGAGCAGGAGGTGGCCTACCACTGCAAGAGATCGCGCCTGCTCAACACACCAGGTAAGGCCCAGGGGCAGCGGCGGGACGGGTGAGTCTCTGAAACCCGGAGCATCCAGCGCAGGAGTGTTTACTGTGAAGGGGGCCGTGACTGCGGTTGTTCACTGCACAGTGGAGAGAAACGTGGCCGGGAAAGGCTACCTATGTCTGAGGCTTGGCTTTGATACGCAGGGAGTGACTCGAGTGCATTCCATGGGCCTCTCAGGGTTTGTTCTCATCTTAGAAAAGGAAAATGTTCGCAACGCCCATCCCGCCGCAGTTGCGGAAATGAAGAGCTTCTTGAGAGAAATGGCACTTGAAGAGAGAGAGCCTGTGAGGTGGGCATAGAAAGTGTGGTGGTGGGAGAGGGTGTTTCTGGGAGAGGAACAGAACGTGAGAAAGAAACCTCAGCACACTCATCCAAGATGATGCGTTGTGGCTGGGCAAAGGATGCATAAGGCAGAAATACCAGGCAAGGAGCCTGACATGATAGTCAGGGGTAACTGCGTTCGTGGTACTCGTGATGCCTGAAGAGCAGGGGCACTAAAGAAGATTCTTTTTTCAATAATAGACTTTCATTTTAGAAAAATAGGCTAATCACTGTGGTGTTGGTTTGTAGAGAAAATGGTTGATTTTGGTTGTTAATGTATGAAAGAAAAAAGAGAGAGACAGAGGAAGAAGGAGGGAGAGAGGAAAGGAAAGTTACGGGAGGAAGGGAGGAAGAAAGCAAGGGAGGAAGGGAAGGAGGGAGGGATGGAGGGAGGAGGGAAGAGAAAACTTCTAGGAGCGCGTCCTGAATTCCAGAAAGTGGAGAATGTCAGAAGATGTCCAGCAAAGTTTTCTCACACCCTAGGGGTCTGCGATTTGTGAAAGAGAACTTACCACATATTTCATGGCAGAAAAAAGGACCACAAATGTTCTGAGTATCCACAAAAGGGTTTTACAACGTCGAGCCTCAAGTTTAGAATACGGTGCTCGGGGTTCAGAAATTGTGAAAGGCTGGAGAGATAGAGAAAAGGCAGCATCAACACCGGGGATGGGAGAGAAACTAAACCATGTACTGCCCAGCTGGTCTAGAACCTTCAGGGAAGTTGTTCTACATCAGAGACTTTCCCAGATAACTGTCACTTAGCCCTTTAAGCACCAACAATCTTTTCAAATAATTTTTAGCTAGTTGAAATGAAAGTCTTTCTCAAATGGATTACACGCTTCCTTGCCTTTCTAAACACAGAATTCTAAATGTAAAATGTAACATTTTCTTGATGGCTCAGGATCTCCATTGTGAAAATCAAATATTGTCCTCTCCCTGGGCTCAGCCGCACTTGCACTCGGAGTCAACCAGTGGTGTCCTTTTCTCAGCATCTTGAGGACACTGTAAGAGTCGCTGTTGGTATTTTTATATTTCTCTCTCCCCCAACTGTGAAGGCTGTTCTTGTCGCTCTCAGCTCTTTTTTGAGGGTGCCTTTATCCACAGACCTCTCTGCCTAATTTCGTTGTGTTGCCTGTAGTTTTCCAACAATTACGTTTTGTAGCACTGTAGAAAAATGGGGATGTGTTCATTCGGACTGTGGGCTTTCTTTAAAATGGCTGTTTTATAGTATCATGGTGTTATGGATTGTGTTTAGCTGTCCCACCCCAAAGCTTCACGCTTTTCAGGGATGGCTGAATCTAGAGTGTGTGATTGATTCAAGGTGGGGGCAGGCCTGAGGGTGCTCAGATCAAGGGCATACGTGATACCTGCTCTAAGTAGTTCACATAAAATGAAAGGTGCAGAAAGATGCTCTTAAGGTCCCTTATCGCTTTTGCTACTTTTTGAGTGCCATGTTGTTTCTCCCCTGCTTTGAGTTTGCCATTCCTGCCTTGAAGCCAGCAGAGTATGAACTTAAATCTCTATGAAGTGTGAGCTAAATAAGCCCTTTCTCCTTCAGTGTTTTGAGTGTCAGGTATTTTTTCTCCACAACTCGAAAAAAGTAACTAAGATACTCGACTACACCACTGCCCTTGTGCACATACACTTTCCCCCTCCACCTCCTCTGTCTTGAATCCTAATCGTACTGGAGAGGGAAAGACATGGATCTGGGAGAGGCCAGATTGGGAGTGAGGGTCTGGCTGTCCGCGCTATCCGTGTGTACTGCTGCATCCGTTCAGTCTGCACAGTTCATTCTCACTACCTGACAAACGTGCATGGGCATCCTGAATTCATGAGCCTGACAGGAGGGCTGAAGAAACAAGGTCATCCCTGGCTCTGGTGCAATGCCTGGTACACGTGAGTTATGCAGCAAACAACAGTGTCCTTGCTTTCAGCTTCTATCCCAGCAGGGAAAGTCTAAAATTTATGCCATAATGGGGAATAAGTACAGAGGGGAGTTCTACTGCTATTTAATTATATAAATAAAATATTTATAATTGTATAATAACAGGATTGAAAAACTTACGTAGGCTGGTAATCTTAGCACCTGGAAATACCAATAAAACATTTCAATGTGGGCTGGGGATTTAGCTCAGTGGTTCCGCCACCTGCCTTGCAAGTGCAAGGACCTGAGTTCGATCTCTGGCACCAAAAAAACAAAACAAAACAAAGCAAAACCACCACCACCACCACCACAACAAACATTTCAATGTGAAGCCTTTCAAATATTTTTTTTTCAAATATACATATATTCACAAAGTCACCACTGGAACACACCACTCACATGTTTACGCTTTAGTGTTCTCAGTCATCCCCTTCTCCCCTTGGATTCTGAATCGGTGTAGTAAAATGAAGGAAGCCCATGGCACGGACACCCAGTGTCTACTTTCTTTTGGGGAGTTGGCTTGGAGAATGCACCACGGATCTCATGATACAGATGTGTTCCCAGCCCTGCACCCTTACTGCAGAGTGAGCCTCTGCTTGGGCCTCCACGCAGGGGTGCTCATGGCAGCAGGAATAGGAAGAGTAACGTTCATCGTGGATCTGAGAGCCAGCGCAGAAGGCTTGCGCCTGCAGCAATGTTTCCCTGGTCTCCCTGAGCCCTAAGCATTCCCTCCCTCAAGAGAATGGCCAAGGCCAGAAGGGAAATGGGTGCCATTCTTCCTCTCTTACCTACCAGTGAGTCTGGAAGTGTAGACCAAGTCTCTGAATTATCAAGGAAATCTGGGGTGGATTCAGGAAAGAGGTTCCCAAACCCAAGATACCACTTTGCAACCTGTATTTGTCACAGACAGACAGACACACAGACACACAGACACACACACACACACACACACAAAACTATCAATGCATATCAATAAATATGACCCAGACCATCATTTGTATTAACAACAGAGTATTATCTAATATAGAGGTACTAAAATTAACACAGTTGCTATTTGGACATGTACATTATTTCCTTTTTCTTTACTAATACAAATAATGCTGTATGAACATGTTTGCATGTAGATCTTTATGAATATAACTGATTGCTTTACTTATTTTTGTTGTTGTTGCTAAGACAAAATACCCAACACCCACAAGTTGAAGGAGGAAAGCTTTACTTGTCCCACAGTTTGTAGAGGCTCAGTTCGTAGTTGGCTGGCTCCAAGGCAGGGTGGCCTGGCAGAGGGGCCTCTCAGAGGAGAAGAAACAGCCTGTGGCAGGGTAGACAGGTGGTACTAAGCAGCGAGCATCAGAAGTAGTAGCAAGCCTCCCTGTCCTTTTTATCCCATCCAGGATGCAAGCCTTTTCAGGGGCGCCACCCGCACTCAGGGTGGGCCTTCCCACAGTCTACACTCAAAACCATGATAAACCAATTAGTGAACTTCACACACTTAATGCAAGTATCACACACCTAGATCTGGCCATCTCTAAAAATCCCCACCTATGAGCATATGAGAGTTTGTGGGGACATCTAGACACAAGCCATAACACTGGCTATATCCTCATAATAAACTCCTTGAGGTGTCATCAACATGGCAGAAAGTGTGTGCACTCTAAGGCTTTTTACCACAGTGACTTTTACACTGTATCAAACTTTTACCAATATATCCCCTGCCGAGCACTGTGGAGCTAAATTCCCACTTCCCAGCAATGGATATCCTCATTTTACTTTAGTGTTGGTAGAGCTGATAAACATAAAAGAGTGTCAAAGACAACTGGAAATCATTTTTGCTATCTCTGTTAACTTTTTAAGAATATGTAGGCCAATTCCTATAGTTTATTGGCTACTTCCCACAAGTCTCTCAGGATTAGTATAAGTTATGAAATACCTGTATAAATTTTGGCAACAGGTGGAGTTTAATACACAAAAGGTGGAGTCTCCTTATCACAGACTCTCCTCCCTACTATACAAATAGTAGACTAGGAAGAGAGAATATTTTTAAAAAATGACAGAAAGTAGAGGAGTATTCAAATGGCCACTAATGACAAAGATGTCTTATGTTTGGGGTGCTGGATAAGCATTATTTCTAATCCAAAAAAAACAGATCTTCCAGTAAGGGTTATTAGCCGCATCTGGTATCTATCTGTGTAACTGAAGTTTTATTAGAAACCTCAGAAGGAACAGTCTTCCTAGTTATTGGGGTCCACGAGAAAAGTGTTGCTGCTATTCCCATGTGCCTTTGTATTTTCCTTAACTGCCCGCTGCTTTTTACCCTGATATTTATGCAGGACCTAAGGCCCTGTGCTATGGTGCAACTTCCAAGACAGGGCCGTGGTATCACCAGCCTACCAGTGCTCACGATGGTGGCCCCTGGTCCCCAGGGGAAATACCTGCTCTGACCCAGCCCGAGTCTGTTCTCTCTTCCCGGTATCTCTGTAAGGATTTTGCCTAAGTTCTTACTCCTGTAGACAGTGCGTTATGTACATATAAAATGCAGTAGGACCCAGTCATGGCATGGTTGCAGGGAGGATAGAAAAATACATGCTGAGTTCACAATCTCAGTGGTTTAATCACACGGTAAATTAACTGCATGACCCCCAGCTTCCCTCTGGAATGAATAGAAGATTGAGAGGAGCACAGTCAGGTGATCACATAGGGGAACCTCATGCCTACATCCCTAAAGAGAAC